TCGGCCGCGGGCTCTCTCAAGCCGTCTGTTTCGAGCTCCCTTGGGTGCTGCTTCGGCCGCGGGCTCTCTCAAGCGCGTCTGTTTCGAGCTCTCTTGGGTGCTCCTTTGGCCGCGGACTCTCTCAAGGGTGTCTGTTTCGAGCTCCCTTGGGTGCTGTTTCGGCCGCGGGCGCTCTCAAGCGTGTCTGTTTCGAGCTCCCTTAGGTGCTCCTTTGGCCGCAGACTCTCTCAAGGGTGTCTGTTTCGAGCTTCCTTGGGTGCTGCTTCGGCCGCGGGCTCTCTCAAGCGCGTTTGTTTCGAGCTCCCTTGGGTGCTCCTTTGCCCGCGGACTCTCTCAAGGGTGTCTGTTTCGAGCTCCCTTGGATACTGTTTCGGCCGCGAGCTTTCTCAAGCGTGTCCGTTTCGAGCTCCCTTGGGTGCTGCTTCGGCCGCGGGCTCTCTGAAGCCGTCTGTTTCGAGCTCGGCCGCGGGCTCTCTCAAGCGCGTCTGTTTCGAGCTCCCTTGGGTGCTCCTTTGGCCGCGGACTCTCTCAAGGGTGTCTGTTTCGAGCTCCCTTGAGTGCTGTTTCCGCCGCGGGCTCTCACAAGCGCGTCTCTTTCGGGCTCCCCTGGGTGCTGCTTCGGCCGCGTGCTCTCTCAAGCGTGCTGTTTCGAGCTCCCTTGGGTGCTGCTGCGGCCGGGGGCTCTCTCAAGCGCGTCTGTTTCGAGCTCCCTTGGTGCTCCTTTGGCCGCAGACTCTCTCAAGGGTGTTGTTTCGAGCTCCTTGGCTCGATGTTTCGGCCGCGGATCTTCACAAGCGCGTCTGTTTCGAGCAGCTTCCTCTGGGTTGCTGCTTCGGCACGCGGGACGTCTCAAACGAAAGTTCGTGCTTAGTCCTTGGATTGCTCCTTTCCTTTGGGGCTCTCACAAGCGCGTCTGTTTCGAGCTCCCCTGGGTGCTGCTTCGGCCGCGTGCTCTCTCAAGCGCATCTGTTTCGAGCTCCCCTGGGTGCTGCTTCGGCCGCGTGCTCTCTCAAGCGCGTCTGTTTCGAGCTTTTTGGTGCTGCTTCGGCCGCGGGCTCTCTCAAGCGCGTCTGTGTCGAGCTGCCTTAGGTGCTGCTTTGGCCGCGGGCTCTCTAAAGCGGTCTGTTTCGAGCTCTTTTCGGTGCTGCTTTGGCCGCGGGCTCTCTCAAGCGCGTTTTTTTCGAGCTTCCTTTGGTGCTGCTTCTCTCGCCACCGCACGCGCACTCTCGCTCCCGCAGCGCTCACGCGCGTCGCAGAGCCGACGTCCGCCGACCCCACGAACTACGGCGCCCCCGCGAACTCTCGGCAAGGCGCAGTTGTGCCCTCTTCCGCGGACTTGCACCAGGAACGCGGAAGCTCGCAGTCGAGGGGGGCTTCCGCGCGGGAGTAGCCGCCGCGCCGCGCCGAGTCCGCGAGCGAGAATGCCCGTCGGACCCCGCGCGCGGCGCGGCGCCCACTGCCGCGCGGAAACCCAGGGGGCCACGTCCAGCCTCCACGCGGCGGCCCCTGGGGAAGGCTACGCGGGCGACTCAGCACCCGCAAGGGTCGCGGTCGCGCGCGTAACTTTCGCGAAGGACGACTCTCGAATCGCGCTAATGCTGACATATCTGTTTCTGGGACGCACATCACTCACTCAGGCTGACGCCAGCACTCCTTCCCCCCTTGATAGGGGGGAGCGTGGAGGTAGATCCCTAAACCCTAAAAGCAATGACTCTGGGTGGATGGGGTGGGACAGAACGCATCCATCCATCCCCCCCTACCTCCTGAGGAGGGGGGGATAGGATGGTTCTGCGCAGAAACCCTAAACCCTAAACCCTAAACCCTAAACCCTAAACCCTAAACCCTAAACCCTAAACTGCAGGCGCGGCCCTGGGGGCGCGCATCGCCACGCCTGTAAGGATCTGCTTGTGAGAGCGAGCTGCCAGTCGAGCTCACCGCCACAATCGGCCTGCCGGCCTGAGGCTGTGTCTCGCTCAGAAACATATAACCCCTAACCCGGGGCCGGATGCTCCCAAATCGCGGCCGGCCCTGGTGAGTTTAGGGTATTGGGCCGCGGGTTTAGGCTTTCCCTTAAAAACCATTGGATTTCCTTAGAAACTGCCCCAGGACGCTTGGCTTCGCGACGGAAGCGCGCTGCGGCGCTTAGATAGCCGAAATCGTAAAATTAGCGCTTGGGTTTGCCCGCCGCCGCGCTGGTCCCCTTGTCGCGCTCGCATGCAGCCTCTCTGATATCCAAGCACTTGTATCGGCGCTTAAAAACCTCCGGATGTGCTTAAAACTGACCCCAGAACGCTTGGTTTCTCTGGAAGAGCGCGCTGGGGCAGGTTTTATTGCCGAAGGCGTGAATCCAATGGTCCAAAGGTTCTGTGCGTCCGCCGGCCAAAATCCTCCCTGATGCCGGCCGGCATCACGGAGGCTTCTGGGGGCTACCCACAACGAGCTCCCCCGGGCTCCTTGGCTCCTTGTGGGCTCCCATAACGAGCTCCCCCAGGATCCTTGTGGGCTCCCACAACGAGACCCCCTTCCCCCCAGAGCTCTCCCCCAGAGCTCCCCCCAGAGCTCTCCCCCAGAGCTCTCCCCCAGAGCTCTCCCCCAGAGCTCTCCCCCAGAGCTCCCTCCCAGAGCTCTCCCCAGAGCTCTCCCCCAGAGCTCTCCCCCAGAGCTCTCCCCCGGAGCTCTCCCCCAGAGCTCTCCCCCAGAGCTCTCCCCAAGAGCTCTCCCCCAGAGCTTCTCTTCAGAGGCCGCTCCCCCAGAGCTTAGCCCCAAGAGCTTTCTCAAGAGCGAGAGGCCAGAGCTCTCCCCCAGAGCTCTCCCCCAGAGCTCTCCCCCAGAGCTCTCCCCAGAGCTCTCCCCCAGAGCTCTCCCCCAGAGCTCTCCCCCGGAGCTCTCCCCCAGAGCTCTCCCTCCAGAGCTCTCCCCCAGAGCTCCCCCCCAGAGCTCCCCTCCAGAGCTCTTGGCGTGAAGGAGCTCCCAGAGGATCGTTCCCAAGGTAGTGAACAAAACATATCCTCAAGAGCGTGCGCAGACCTCTCTGGGAGAGCTAAACCAAGGAAAATTACCGATATACCGGATTAACATTCCCCCGGGCTCCGGCGCGGTGCCGGCTCGGGCTCTGATTCCGGCTCGGGCTCCGAACTTGGGCGAAACTCCGAGCTCGGGCTGGCTCGGTGGGCGACTGTGGCGCCGGTCTGCGTTCTCCTGTGGGCTTGGTTTGTGTTCCTTGGGTGCTCCTTTGGCCGCAGACTCTCTCAAGGGTGTCTGTTTCGAGCTCCCTTGAATGCTGTTTCGGCCGCGGGCTCTCTCAAGCGTGTCTGTTTCGCGCTCCCTTGGGTGCTGCTTCGGCCGCGGGCTCTCTCAAGGCTACGCGTGCGACTCTTCGCCCGCGCGGGCCTAGGTCGCACGCGTAACTTTCGCGAAGGGCGACTCTTCTCATTCATCCCTGGTACGCGGCCACTCACTCTTGCCGACGCCTGCACACTTCCCCCCTTGCTAGGGGGGAGCGAGGGGGGTAGACCACCCTAAACCCTAAAAGCAATGACTCTGGGCGGATGGGGCGGGACTCAACGCACCATCCATCCCCCCCTACACCCTGGTGAGGGGGGGATAGGATGGTTCTGCTCGGAAACCCTAAACCCTAAACCCTAAACCCTAAACCCTAAACCCTAAACCCTAAAACCCTAAAACCCTAAACCCTAAACCCTAAACCCTAAACCCTAAACCCTAAACCCTAAACCCTAAACCCTAAACCCTAAACCCTAAACCCTAAACCCTAAACCTAAAACCCTAAACCCTAAACCCTAAACCCTAAACCCTAAACCCTAAACCCTAAACCCTAAACCCTAAACCCTAAACTGCAAGCCACGGGCGGTGCATCGACAGAAGCCCGTGGCGCCTGGCCGAGCGATCAGCGAGTCCGCCCATGCGCGAACGCCGCACCGACGAAGCGCGTAGCGCTGAGGAGGATGCGCTCCCCCGCGGGGATGCCTTGTGAGTGCTCCGAGAGAGGAATAGAACCCTTAACCCAAAACCCAGCCGTTGGGTTCGCTACGGTTGGTCGCATCCCCTGGGGCTCCAAACCTATGAAAATACAGCATGCGGCGCCCTTACGGCCGTCCGTGGGGCCGCAAACCATATGAAAATACCGCATGCGGCGTCCTTTCGGCTGGCGCACGTCCCAGGCACTCCCAAGCGCTCCCAGGCGCTCCCAAGCGCTGCCAGGCGCTCCCAAGCGCTCCCAGGCGCTCCCAAAAGCTTCCAAGCGCTCCCCGGCGCTCCCCGGCGCTCCCAAGCGTTGCCAAGCGCTCCCCAGCGCTCCCAAGCGTTCCCCGGCGCTCCCAAGCTCTCCCCGGCGCTTTCGGCACGCTCCCAAGCGCTCCCAAGCGCTCCCAGGCGCATGGCGCTCCCAGGCGCTCTCAGGCGCTCCTGGCACGCTCGCAGGCGCTCCACGTCATGCCTGCGGCGGCTTCTTCGGCTATGCTTTGGTGCCTTGCTGGTGCATCTAGCAGAAAACCGCAACGCGACAAAAAAAAAGCGACGCAGATGCGCCGAACGGCCCCGCGGACCCTAGTGATTCGCCCAAGACCTCGTAGAGCAAGCCCCGAGGAGTTCCAGGGGCCCGTTTTTCAAGTCCGACGGGGTTTCACGGGGGGCAGCGCGAGGGGCACGCGCCCGGCGCCCTCTCGCACTGCGAAGTCCGCCGCGAAGGGCATCACACGACGCCTTCCGTGGCCATGTACGAGGGGGCGCCAGACCCGCCCCCTCGCGCTCCCCCTCCCCGCCATTTCAAAACTCCAGGGGTGTCGAGAACGTCAGACAATCTCTAAGTATGCCCTTCCTTCTGTTCTTCCCTTCCCCGACGTGGCACTGACAGACCATCATTTTCCCAGCAGGAATGCGCACGTTCGTGCCATTGCACGCGACAGCGGGGCAGGCGCACCGCGTGGATACTGCGAGAGGCGAGCGGTCGCGCGCCAGCCAACGCGCGGACACCGTCGGCAATCTCAGAACGCGGGTATGAAGTTGTCTCGCTCCACGAAGCCGCCGATCAAGTAATCATCCGACGTTGCAACGCGGCTGAGCGCTGTATATCCCGCTGCTGGTCTAGGCCACCCGTCCAGGTATATCGTGATGTGGGGGAACTCGTCGCCCTGCACCTTGTCGATGGTGCTGGCGTAGCCGAGACGAACCGGAAAGTAGACCGCATTGCCCTTCTCGCGGTCGGTCCAGCGAGTAATCGCCAGACGGTGGCCCGTCTTCGTCATCACGCGCAGCATGTCCTCCTCGGCGTGGTAGTCCTCCACCACGCAAAGCATGCCATTCACCTCGTCGGCCTCCTTGTTCTTGTTCTTCGTCAGGTACAATTGCATTCCCTTGTAAATCGGTACTCTGCTTGGGACCAGACGGCGATCAGTGCGAAGCTTGCCATCCACGTAGTTCTCGGGGTTGAGTTCCACGTCGCCGTCCAGCGTGGCCAGCGGGGTCTTGCGGCCGTACAGCGCAGCGACTGCCGCCTCGTTCACGGCCGCTGCGCCCCTGCGCGTGCAGGTGACGATCCGCGTGTCTGGGTGCTTCTCGAAGAGCTTCTTCATTTCGGCGGGCGTGGGGTCGCCTCTGCTCTTCCACGCCGTGTGGTCGCGCACGATCTTGCGGAACGTCTCCTTGGAGGGCTTGTCTGTCCGAAGCTCGTCCAGGATCTCCTGGAAGCGTTCCTCCTTGCACCGCCAGGTTTCGGTGAGCTTCACGTGGAAGCAGCGCGGCCGCTTCCATGCGGCACTCTCCCAAGGACGTGTCGGTTCCACCCCAGGGAGCTGGTGCTTGTCTCCGAGGAAGACCAGCGCGGGGACTTTCCCCGCGACGCTCCAGAGCTTCAGGATGCGCTCGAAGCTTTCGCAACTCAGCAGCGATACCTCGTCAACCACCACCAAGTCGAAGTCCGTCATCCTGCGAAGACTCTCTGTGATTGGATCGTGCAGCTTGAATGCGGCGTGGCACGTGTCCACCGTTAGGCCCCCCAGGCCTTGCAGCGCGGCTCTCATGCGGCTGGACAGCTGCGCCGTCGGGAGGGCGAAGAGCACGCGCGCGCCTTGCTCCTGGGCGCGCCGAATGCTGGACTTTACCACGGTGGTCTTCCCCGTCCCAGGCTTCCCAAGGCAGATGACGGGCGTGTTCTTCTTGTACGCTTCCTCGCGCGCCTCGTCCGCCTTCTCCCAGTCCTCCGACAGCTCCGCCCGCACGGCACGGTCCACGCGCTCGTTGATCGCCTCCTCCAGCTGCAGCTGCTTCGGGTGGAAGTCGACCTCGTCCTGGCCCTCGCCGCGCGCTGGCCTGCGGTTGGCGATGACCGCGGCCTCGGCGTCGGCCGCGGCCTTCTCGTCGGCCTTGTCGATGATGCCCGTCAGGTACATGTTGATGAGCTTCCGCTGCCCCACGATCATGTGATGCACAACCTCGGTGAACTTGCTGGACTTCGCGGAAGCGCTCATGTAGTCCACGAGCCGCCTGTCATCGGTGAACAAGTCATGGTGCTCTTCAGCGACGCGGCCCTGGTCGGAGCACAGTCCCAGCGCCGCCGCGAGATACTTGTATTTCTGCGGAACCAGGCGATTCACATCCTCGAACTCGAGCTCGTCGAGCGATCGAAACGGCACGTTCATTGCAACCCACTGGCCGTAGTAGCGGTCGTTGAGCTCGTATACCGTGTCGACGCTGACCACCTTCTCGCCCTGCATGCGGTAGGCTCGCGCGAACTCCTTGAGGTTCGGAAAGTCGTTCTCGCCCTCGCTCTTTTCGTCGCTGTGCTTCTTCGCGAGGAACTCCTCGAAGGTCTTCGGCTGGTCCTCGTCTTCGGCGTCGGAGTCTTTGTCGCTGTTCCCGCTGCCTCCGCCATCAGCATCGGCCATGCCTTTGTACTCAGCGCGCAGGAAGCGCCAGTGAGCGTCGAGCGCCTGGGGCTCCTCGCCGTCGGGCACGGTCGCGCGGTACCGCCTGTACAGGGCCAGCACCAGCTCCTGCTTGTGCTTGCGCTTCAGCCATCCAGCGATGGCGCCGTCGTCAGTAGTCTTTCGAAGCCACTCCAAGAGCGTCATGCCCTCGTGGCGCCACGAGCAATCAGCATATTTCTGGACCCAGTCGGGCACATCCGCCATGCCCGAGTAGGGCGCCGTCGCGGTGCGGAAGCCGCCGCTGACCGTAGAGATGTCGTACTGTCTGAATTGCGCTCCGCACAGCTGCAGGACCATCTCTGGCTCGTAGGGGTGGTACTCGAAGCAGACGCGCCTGGCCACGCTGTCCGCGGAGGCCTTGTCGCTCATCCACTCGTCGTAGCTGCTGTCCGAGAACTTCGCCACATACTTGGAAACGTATTGCAGGAGCATGGCCTCCCCGTCGCTGGTCTGCCAGTCCTGATGGCAAGGGAGCCCGACCATTACGTCAGCGCAGTACGCTCGGAGGCCCGCGTCGTGGTCCTCCTCGGTGTGCTTCAGCTGGAGGACACCATCGTCGCCGTGCACCCCCGACGGCCCATGGTAGATCGGCCACTTGCTCTCTGCATCGCCGTGCTTGTTGAACTGGGATCCGTCCACGTAACCCTTCAGGTCATCCGAGTAGCCATCGGGCTGTGTCGCGAAGAGGTGGTGCTCCAATCCCATGTTCGCCATGGAGTCGTCGTCCGCGAAGAAGAGGACGTGCAGGTGCGGCCGGCCGGAGCCGTCGTAGCGCTTCGTGCCCTCCTTGCGGCTCCCGTCCTGGTACTCCAGTCTCGTGAAACTCTGGACGCGAACCTGTCTGCCGTCGGCGTCCTTCGCGGCGAACACGTGCTGTGTCCAGCTGCGGCTGCTGCGGTCCATCATCTGGTAGTTGTTGCCCGCCAGCATGCCTCGGACGATCTGCATGAGCACGTGCGTCATGTGCAGCGTTTCGCCCACGGGGAGGTACATGCGGGTTCGCAGTGTCTTCTCCATTTCATCGCGCAGCCAGTCGTGGTACTTGAAGCACGGCTCCCACGGCGCAATGGTGAAGAACAGCTTCGGGAAGCCCACCTGGCGCACGAGGTCGACAAGGGCATTGTGCACCTCCTTCCAGTAGAGCGGCGAGAAGGTATGACCCTTCATGAGCATCCGCATCGGCACGTTGTCGAGGCCCAGGTTCTTCTTTGCACCGAGCGTCGCCCAGAGGTTCAGGTCGTACACGAACTGCAGCAGCTCGAAGTTGGATCCGTACCCAAGCAACGGCGATAGGCATTTGGTCATGAAAGACCGCTTGACGCTCGTGCGCTGGCCTCCGCCGTCGCCTTCGTCCTCCTCGGCGTCCGACTCGAAACTGGACAGACGGTTTTACATTCAAGATTTCGTCCAGTATCATGGGTTTCAATCTTGGGTTGGGATTCTCCTTTACTCTGCCCTTCCTTTCCCGCCTCGCCCGCTTCTCCCTTCTTTACCATGCGCTTTTGGCGTACTGGTGGCCTCTCAGTCTTTGTGTTTCAGGAGAACCGTCCCCTTATGGCGCGTCATCATCATCATCATCATCATCACCATACTCTGCCTTCTTCTTCTTGGCCTCCTGGGCTTCGCGCCTCTCCTCGCGCCTCGCGCCCGACCACTGCTCGTGCGTCTCCGTCATCTCGGTGCACCAGTACAAGTTCGGCCAGAGGGCGCACTCCAGTCCGATCTCCTGCAGGAAGTGGTATGGGCGCTTGCGCTTCCTGTCCGCGGCGTCCTCGCCCTGCTTGCGGAGGAACTTCTCGTGCATGTCGTGGAACCGTTTGTACGAGGACTCTTCGCAGTCCAGCAAGTACTTGTACGCCTTCTTTGCCGTCCGCCGCGCATCCCCATCCAACTCGTGGATCTTACCCTTCACGTGCCACTTCGAGAAATAGAACGTGATCATCTTCACCTTCTTGCGGTAGCCGTTCGGGCGGCCGAACGTGTCGGTGGAGCGTGTCTCGTGGCCGACGTCGATCTCAATGGGCCGGAGGGCTTCGACGATCTCCTCTGACAGGCCGCGGAGTGGCCCAGGTACGTCATCGGGCAGCGGGACGTACATGTCGCGAGCGGCGTTGCAGCGGCGGCAGGCGCTCTTGGAGATCTCCTCGCTGGCGTCGAGGAACATATCGATCTCGTGCATGGGCCGCGGCTGCAAAACATGGCACTCCTTGCAGATGCCCCGCGAGCCCTTGGCGGCCCAGGACCGCAGCCCCTTCGACAGATCACTGAAGCCTGCTTCGCCGATCGGCGGCTCCAAGTCCTTGCTCTTTGGGACCTCGTCGGCGCGACCGCGCATCTTTCGCTCGGCTGTGTACTTGTAGAACGAGTTCTCGACCTTCTTCAAGTCCGCCAGGGTTAGCTTGCGGAACTTCTTCCGAGCTTCCTCGTCGACCGTCGGGCTCTCCATCACCAGCCGCCGCTTCGCCAGCTTCGTCGGCCAGTCCGTCTCGCCAGTGCGCCTCCGAGCTTGTGCTGCCTGCTGGTTCTGCCGGACAGTCTTCTTCTTCTTCATCTGCGCCACGTAGTTGTCCCCGAAGACGTCCTTCAAGATTGCCTCGGCCTTGGCAAATACGGCTTCGTCCTTCTCGCGGAAAACCTCCAGCTGCGTCAGCAAGCCCCTGCGGTACCCTCCCTGCATGCCGCGCAGCCTCTGCGGATCGCTCCAGCTGCACAAGTGCTTGTCGGCCTTCACCACGCGCGCGGGCTGCCCTGGGTTCGCCGTGCTGAAGGGGCACATGGCTTCTCCTGCGCCGCGGCAGCAGTTCTGCGGCGTGACGATGACCTAATATTCCTGCGCAGTGAGGTGCCTGCGCAGCCGCCCCAGCGCCTTCTGCTTCAGCGCAGGGTTACGAGCTTCGAACTTCTTCAGGTCGGTCACGGCATGTTTCTTCTTGGCGGGATTGCTTGCCGCCTCCTTCATGCGAGCAGGCGTGCACCAGAGGCACTTCCCGTCGAGCGCCATGGCACGCTGTCCAGGATGCTCTCGGGAGAACAAGCAGACCCCCTCGTCCTCCTTGCTGCGGAGCCTGCGGCCCATGGCGCGCGCCAGGCTGTATCCCTCGCAGAGGCGCTGGCGTCTGCGCCCAGCGGCCGCGCCCTCGCCTTCCGCGGGTACTGGCGGCGGCTCCGCAGCCGCTGCCCTGCGCACCGGCGAAGCTCCACGCCGAAGGTGCAAACGGCTGCCTCATCGACGAGGCGAGCTGACGCGCGAGCGCCATGCACCCTGCGCGCGTGCCCGCATGGGCGCGCATTGCCACGGCCGCGACCGCGCGCGCTTCCCAGCACTCGCACCCCAGTTTCACAACCCAGTGCCGAAGGCAAAACGGCAACGCACGGACATGCTGCGCCAGGGGCAGCCCTGCGCGCGTGCCCACGTGGATGCGCAATGCCACGGCCGCGTCGGCGATCGCCTGCGCGCGCCACTTCGATAGCCCCCCGTGATAGGGGGGTTGGGGGGAGAAACCCTAAACCCTAAAGGGCTTTACTGTGGGTGGTCTGGGGCGGGAGTGCAAGTTCATAGCGCGCGCGGCTTGGGCAGCGATCCCCCCCAACAACCTTGATGTGGGGGGGATCGCAGCCAGCGCGCGCATGCGCCCCTGCAGGCCCTAAACCCTAAACCCTAAACCCTAAACCCTAAACCCTAAACCCTAAACCCAAACCCTAAACCCTAAACCCTAAACCCTAAACCCTAAACCCTAAACCCTAAACCCTAAACCCTAAACCCTAAACCCTAAACCCTAAACTGCAAGCCACGGGCGGTGCATCGTCAGAAGCCCGTGGCGCCTGGCCGAGCGATCAGCGAGCCCGCCCATGCGCGAACGCCGCACCGACGAAGCGGCGATAGCCGCTGAGGAGGATTCGCATCCCGCGGGTATGCAACCCCGGGGGGGTTCTCCCAAGAAAAGGAACCCCTAACCCTCAGCCCTAGCAAGCGGGTCCCTGGGGGGCCGATCCTTCCTCTGGGGCTCCAAACCTATGAAAATACACCATGCGGCGCTCCCTGGGTGCTCCAAACCTATGAAATTACCGCATGCGGCGCTCCCGGCGCTTCCAAACGCTCCAGGCGCTCCCAAGGACTCTCCAAGCGCTTCCGGCACGCTCCCAGGCGCTCCCAGGCGCTCCCAGGCGCTCCCAGGCGCTCCCAGGCGCTCCCAAGCGCTCCCCAGCGCTCCCAAGCGCTTCCAAGCTTTCCCAAGCGCTCCCGGCACGCTCCCAAGCGCTCCACGGCGCTCCAGGCGCTCCCGGCACGCTCCCAGGCGCTCTCGGCACGCTCCCACGCGCTCCCAAGCGCTCCCAGGCGCTCCCAAGCGTTCCCAAGCGCTCTAAGCGCTCCTGGGTGCTCCCGGCACGCACCCAGGCGCGTTCCCAGGCGCGCGCTGGCTGCGCTCCTAGACGCTCCCAGGCGCTCCCAAGCGCTCCCGGCACGCCCCCAGGCGCTCCCAGGCGCTCGCAGGCGCTCCCTAGCGCTCCCGGCACGCTCCTGGCGCGCTCCCAGGCGCTCGCAGGCGCTCCCCAGCGTTCCCAGCGCTGCCACAACCCCGAAGCGCTCCCAAGCGCTCCACTGCGCTCCCAGGTGCTCCCAAGCGCCGAAGCATTCCCACGCGCTTTTCAGCACCCACAAGCGCTCCAAGGCGCCACGCGGCGCTCCCATGCGCTCACGCGCGCTCCCAAGCGTGCCCAGGCAGTTCCAGGCAGTCCCAGGGCTCCTCCCAGCGCTGCAGCAGTCATGCACGCGCATCGTAGCGAGGGGGTGCCAGACCCACCCCCTCGCGCTCCCCCTTCCAGCCTTGCGAAATTCGCGCCGAAGGCGGCTGCGTCGACAATGCAATCGCTTCAGCGGGGGCGACGCCAACGGTCAAGCCCAACGGGCAATTCACGGCTCGCGCTCGCGTTGCACTCTGCGTGTCCTGTCGCGCTCCCAGACGCTCCCACGTGCTTCCATCCTGGGGCGAGGTCGAGCCCCAGCGCTCCCAGAGAGCTCCCCCAAGGCATTCCAGGGGGTCTGCCATGGACGTGCTGCCGCAGACATGCGCGCGTATCGTAGCGAGGGGGTGCCAGACCCACCCCTCGCGCTCCTCCTTCCGCCTTCCGAAGCTCGCGTCGACAGCGTCTGCGTCGATGATTGCAATCGCTTCAGCGGGGGCGACCTCAAAGCAAAACCCAAAGCCGCGGGCGAATACAACTGCCGTGCGCGTCGGCGTCAGCGAGGAGCCCGACGGCGCGGCTACCCGCTCGAGGCCCACGGGGGCCCATGGGATTGCCGCGCCAGCGCCCTCGCAGTGCTGCTTTCCAGCGCCGAAGGCAAATGCGGACCCCTGTGGATGTGCTGCGCCAGCGGCAGCCGTCTACGACGGCGGCTGCAAGGGCAGCCAGGCCAACGGCAAAAGCCAATGCAGGAGGCTTACTGGAACCAGGGGCAATGCTGCGTCTGCGACAGGCCAACGCCGTAACTCCAAACCGGATGCGGCGACGCCTGGCCTTGAGGCCTCTCCTGTGCCTTCTGATTGCAATGAACACCCGCAGGAGGAGAATCCGTCCTTCGGCAAAGCCATGCGCCAACTGGGAGCCAGCCGAATGCAGCTTAACCCACGGCAAAGATTGTTGGCCATGCGACGACGCTGGCTCTTGCGCCTGCGCAAAGCGCTTTGCGCGCGTACCAAGAACGCAATGCCAAGACCGCGTCGTCGTGCTCCCCGCGGAATATTCGCATTCGCACACAACACGAAAGCCCCCCTTGATAGGGGGGTTGGGGGGAGAAACCCTAAACCCTAAACCCTAAACCCTAAACCCTAAACCCTAAACCCTAAACCCTAAACCCTAAACCCTAAACCCTAAACCCTAAACCCTAAAACCCTAAAACCCTAAAACCCTAAAACCCTAAAACCCTAAAACCCTAAAACCCTAAACCCTAAACCCTAAACCCTAAACCCTAAACCCTAAACCCTAAACCCTAAACCCTAAACCCTAAACCCTAAACTGCAAGCCACGGGCGGTGCATCGTCAGAAGCCAGTGGCGCCTGGCCGAGCGATCAGCGAGTCCGCCCATGCGCGCACGCCGCACCGACGAAGCGGCGATAGCCGCTGAGGAGGATTCGCATCCCGCGGGTATGCATCCCCGTGGGTGTGCATCTGAGAAGAGAAAGAACCCTAAACCCAAAGTGCAGCCGTAGGGTTCGCCACGATTGGTGCCATCCCCTGGGGCTCCAAACCTATGAAAATACAGCATGCAGCGCCCTTTCGGCCGTCCATGGGGCCGCAAACCATATGAAAATACAGCGTGTGGCGTCCTTTCGGCTGTCGCACGTCCCAGGCGCTCCCAAGCGCTCCCAGGCGCTCCCAGGCGCTCCCAGGCGCTCCCAGGTGCTCCCAGGCGCCCCCAGGCGCTCCCAAGCGCTCCCAGGCGCTCCCAGGCGCTCCCAGGCGCTCCCAAGCGTTCCCAGACGCTCCCAGGCGCTCCCAAGCGCCGCCAGGGCGTTCCCGGGCGTTCCCAGGCGCTCCCGGGTGTTCCCAAGCGCTCCCAGGCGCTCCTAGGCGCTCCCAGGCGCTTCCAGGCGCTCCTAAGTGCTCCCAGGCGATCCCAGGCGCTCCCAGCACGCTCCCAGGCGCATCCTGGCGCTCCCAGCATGCTCCCAAGCGCTCCCAAGCGCTCCCCAGGGCCACCAAGCGCTCCCAGGTACTCCCAAGCGCTCCCGGCACGCTCCCAGGCGCTCGAGCATGCTCAGGCGCTCCCTGCGCGCTCCCAAGCGCTCCCTGGCGCCTCCGAGCGCTCCGGGGCGCTCCCAAGCACTCCGAGGCGCTCCGGCGCGCTCCCAGGCGCTCCCGGCACGCTCCCAGCACGCGCCCAGCACGCTCCCACTGCTCCCAGGCGCTCCCAAGCTCCCACAGGTGCTCCCAAGCGTTCCCTGGCGCTCCCAAGCGCGTTTCAGCAGTCCGAGCGGTCCCATGGCGCTCCCAAGCGTTTGCATGCATTCGCAAGCACTCGGCAGCGCTCCCTGGCAGCGCTTCCCGGCGCTCCCCCGCCATGCAGGTGCTGCCGCAGCCATGCGCGCGCATCGTAGCGAGGGGGTGCCAGACCCACCCCCTCGCGCTCCCCCTCCAGCCATGCGAAATTCGCGCCGAAGGCGGCTGCGTCGACACTGCAATCGCTTCAGCGGGGGCGACGCCAACGGTCGAACCCAACGGACAATTCACGGCTCGCAACCGCGGTGCACTCTGCGTGTCCTGTCACGCTCCCAGACGCTCCCACGTGCTTCCATCCTGGGGAAAGGTCGAGGCGCTCCCCCAGCGCTGCCAGAGAGCTCCCCCAAGGCATCCCAGGGGGTCTGCCATGGACGTGCTGCCGCAGCCATGCGCGCGCATCGTAGCGAGGGGGTGCCAGACCCACCCCCTCGCGCTCCTCCTCCCGCCTTCCGAAGCTCGCGTCGACAGCGTCTGCGGATGATTGCAATCGCTTCAGCGGGGGCGACCTCAAAGCAAAACCCAAAGCCGCGGGCGAATACAACTGCCGTGCGCGTCCCCGTCAGCGAGGAGCCCGACGGCGCGGCTACTCGCTCGAGGCCCACGGGGGCCCATGGGATTGCCGCGCCAGCGCCCTCGCAGTGCTGCTTTCCAACGCCGAAGGCAAATGCGGACCCCTGTGGTTCTGCTGCGCCAGCGGCAGCCCAGCGGCGAAGCCCCCTGCCGAAGGCGCAACAGCTGCCTCATCGACGAGGCGAGCTGACGCGCCAGCGCCATGCA